TTCGGCCCATCGCATATCCTGCAAGTATTCCAGATCACCTCATCAACTCCATCCCATCTCGTCCAATGAAGCAAGATACATAGGAAAGAAGTCAAACCAGGTTCCACTGCCGGCCGTGTAGCCTGACAAACAACGGGAACCACAAACACCATTCCACCCCCTACCTCTCCTTGCTCCGTGATATGCCACAACGTTGTATGAAAATGGTTGGCTGCATCGTCTCTCTATGATGCTCTTTTGTCTTCGCCAGGTGTTTAGAATGTCCTTTTGGGATGCCCACCGTGTGCCGTTCTGGCAAATGCAAGTCCCAAGTTCCCAAGTAATGCCCGTAATATCCCAGATCTTGCCTTCATTGTTCTGCCCTTCAACTCCTCGTGAAAAAGCATTGTGACTAAAACATCGACTCCCAAAAATAGAAAATGAGCCACTTCCAAACGATGGTGATGAGGAAAGGTAGAAAACGTCAACGCCTGCTGAACCACCCGGACTCCATCCAAGCGGGAGGAGAGGAAACGACAGAGAACACCACCTCGTCGAAAGTCATGAGTCATAAAAGAAAACCAGAAGGCGCCAACAGCGACCGAAAAGCAGACCCCTAAGAAAGAGAAGAAGAAGAAGAAGAAGAAGAAGAAGAAGAAGGAACATCATCAGGACGACAATGACAGCCACACTGCCACCGCCATGCGGGTGGTTGAGACCCGTTTGTCGTCAACCCTCCTCCGTCCTGGCCCCTGACCGAAGTAAACAAACCAACTCAAGTCATCGTCAAAGCTCTTCGCCCCTCACCACCTCTCTGATCAACCCTTTCCACAGCCTCCTCTCTTGTCGTCGCCTAGGCACAACCCTGATGAACCCCCCTCCTAACCTCCTCACACCCAAACCCACACCCCGAGCACGTAAACCCGTCCCTCACCCCATCCACCAAGTCAAGACATCTAGTACACCTCCAGTCCCTACTATAAACCACTTCCCCGTTCCTCCCCTCCCACCACCCAGCATCCTGCAACTCCTTCTCCCCCTCCTTCCCCTCCTTAACAGGTACATCCTCCCCATGCACAACCCTCAAATGCTCCCTCAACCCCTTAACATCCATCCACTTCCCCTCCCTCCCCTTCCCCTCCTCCCCCATCTCACAACCCGCATACCCACACCCCCTAGGCAACCCCCTAACCCCCTGCCTCTCCCCCTCGCACCAATTCCCGCACCCCTCGCACTGCCACCCCTCCTTCTCCACCACCACCTTGGCGAAGCACTTCGAGCAGCGCCACCACCCCCGGTAAACGGCCAGCGGGCTCCTCTCGCGCCACCACGTCGCGTCCGGGACGGGGGCGGCCTCGCCTCGCTTCAGCAAGTCTTCCTTGTGCTGGTCCCGGAGGTGGTCGCGGAAGTGGTCGGCGCGGAGGAAAGGGTTTTTGTGGCGCGGGCACCGCCGGTAGTCGCAGATCATGGGGGGGACGGTGGCTTTGCAGTGGATGAACTTCATGTGCCGGTCTAGGTCGGCGGCGCGGTTGAATTGCTTGTTGCATTGCCCGACTAGGCAGGGGAACCTGTTGGTGGAGGAGGAGGAGGAGGTGGTGGTCTGGGTGGTGTTGGGGCGTGGTGGGGGGAAATTGGTGGTTGTTGCGGGTGTGGGAGGTGGGTTGGTAGTAGTGGCCAGAGGAGCGTGGTGGTGTGTAGTCGGTGTGGCTGAGGAGGCGATGGATGGGGACTGGATGAGGGATGGGGACTGGACGTCGAAGTAGGCTGTCGAGGAACCATCGTCGATTGGGGACGTGATGCTTGGCCCGGCGGCTTGGTCGTGGTAGGTGTCGTGCACGTAATGTGGGAGGGTGTCGAGGTGGGTTGGCCACTGTTGTTCCTGCTTGTAAAGGGGGTCACAGAGGCTGTCGAGGTCCACGTCCTGGCTGGCTTCGTAAGCGTTGTCGACCATGATCGGGTTTGCTGTCCTCGGGGTGGAGTCGTCCTGGTAGTAGTTCATCTGGCTCCCGGCGCCCTCGACGATGTAGCTGCTGAACTGCTGCTGGTCGTAGGTGGCTTCCACGCCCTCCGCCATGTTGTACTGGTACTGCCAGTTCATGGTAGCAGCACTGTCGTCGTAGAGGAACTCGTCCGCCTCCTCCTTGAGAATGGAGTTCGGGTCGCCATAGTACCCCAGGCGGTTCGATTCGTTCGAGTGGTAGCCTGAGTCGGTCCTGGACATGTCTGCTGATCCGGAAAAGAGAGTGCCGGACGCGGTCTGGTAGCCGAGCTCTTGCTGGAGAGCAGGGTAGACGGTCTGGCGGCGGTTAGAGGACATTGCCGAGGGCTAGGCGCCGACTGGGTCCGGCTGATAGCTGTTTGAGCTTCTGTCGACGGAGGCCACCGTCCTGTGGTGCCGGGGTTGTCCAGAGAAAGGAGAGATGCAAGGTACCGGTTGTCTACATTGTGACGGATTGTATGAGCATCATGCACAGCACGAGAGGTGGCAAATGTTGAATCAGAGATGATAGTCGTGGGGTGAAGTTTCATACGTACGTTTATGTGATTGGGCTCCTCACTGCTAGAACGACTAGTAGTAAAAGAGTTCGTCCAGCACGAGGTGATCGTCCAGGGGCAAAGACGCTCGATCAACCTGAGGGTGGGCTGGCTTTCCGGTCTATCTATGCTCAGTTGGGCGAATGTCGGGCTGTGTTTGTGTCGGTTGGGAATCAGGAGAAGAAGCGGTGGTAAAGTTGGGCGGCGGCGGGGATGGTCGTCGAATATTGTATCCCGCTTCGTTCGAGTGAAGCCAACAACCCTGGCCCCGGGAGATATATGTATTTGCTCGCCCAACGTTACTTGAGCCGGGCATACAAGCACAGGCCAGCCTGGGAATTCAGGGCGGTAAGTACACTTCTCACCGTGGTGTGAGGCGAGCAATAACACGCGCCCTGGCGGGGTACGTATATGGGGGTTCACCGGTCCAAGGTGACAGAGAGCTGTCGTGGTATGTAGAATGCGTGCTTGTGAGAGAAAAGGAGGCGCCTGTGGCATGGATGGACAGGTGTGCTGTGTGGTCGAATGGGAGAAAAATGAGCTCTTTCTGTCCGGTCACCTCCACAGGCACACAGGCCCGCGGGATGATATGAGAGCGGGAAGTTTGGGCGACGTCGCTCTAGAGGAGGCTCAAGTGGAACCACACACGCACACACACATCGCACAGGTCAGGGAGGACCGGCTTCGGTCGACGTTTGGGGGATGCAGAGGTCGGTTACAGCCACACCCCGAGGGTCCCGCATGGGAAACGGGGACTGGCAGGCGAGTGGACGGCGGTAAGCCAGAGCGAGGTTGAGCCCGCGGGGAGTGTGGGATGTTTTGGCTGAGCGGGAGCAGCGAGTACGGAGATGGAACAGCGTGCGCACAGTAGCAGTTTCAGAGGAATGATGGACGGTGTGGGCCACGTCAAGACGCATTGCCTCGGTGAAGCCCTCCTCCGCCTTCACATATTTCATGGTGTAGGAAGGTCTGGCTGGCATGTAAGTCGTCACTGTTTCCCAGGACGGGGCTTTGCTGGAGCCACGAGGGAGACGGGAGACGTGCATTACAACGATGGAGCATTTTTGGCGAGTCAGCCCGCGGCACACCCTCTCGGGGAAGAGACACGGATGTTTCGCTGGACTCTTGCTGTCCAGTCCTTGACCACTGCCTTTTGCAGGGCTGACTAGACAACGTCTAGTGTCTTCGAATCAAGGGAACATCGTGGTTGGATTGGACAATTCTGTGAAGCGTGTTCCCTGTTCCAGACGGAGGAGAAGCGGACAGCCGGGTATCCCAGGCTGTCAAGAAGGGCGTGGATATCCGAAGGAAGATCAGGTGACAAAGGTATGAGGCTACCTACCTTGATATTGGCGGGAAGCGGCATGGCATTCGATCTCGGTGAGCTCAGTAGGTAAGAAGCGGATATGCTAGACTTCTAGAAGATGGCCGGGATGCAGCTTTGAGCTCACCGAAGTATAGCGTGCTTCTTACAGTCTTGATATCCATCAAGGGCGCGGTGCGATGCAATCCTGGCCGTCGTGTCTGCGGGCGACCAGACTTTGCCGTCTGACTTGCAGCAGACCACCATTTTGTGGCGCCGCCGTGATGGACTACCCGCATAGCCTCCTCGAAGGCGACGAAGTAGACGTCGATGTGGTCGAAGACGGACATGATAGCCGAAGTTTCACAGGGCTCTGCAGGCTTGAGATGTCGGATCCATTCTCCGGGAGCCTGACGTGCGTAATAGTTGCAAAGCGATACCTGCAATGTCACACACATGTCAGGTCGAGCTGCTGCTAGCTTCTGCTGCTGCCTGCCCAAACCGACATGAGCGGCTGAGGCGGAGGAGAGTCGATAGTGCAACGCTGCTGTCGAGCTTTACCCGGAGAAGACAGCTCGGCTAAGTGTCACAGCCACCACCGAGCGTGTAGGGCTGTGACAATGACAGACATGATTTCTTGTCAGGGCTTCGGAGAGACACGGCAGGCAAGACCTTGCATAGAGCGCAATCGCACCTCTGTCACAGGACTCGGTGTCATTGACTCTCTCAAAGTGCGCAGCTCTTCCTTGTCAGCTAAGCCAGGCCGATCTCGCACCGCTAGGGCTCGGAGGGGTTCGTGATGCGATTCGTGCATGTCGAAAGGCTTCTTGTTGGGCAGACTGGTACGCGAACCGGTCTGATCAGGCCGAGATTGAAGAAGGTTCGGCAAGCCGTGTGTTTGCCTTTTGCTCTCCTCCGTGAAGTTGTCCGAGAATTTGGGCGCAGTCGCCTTTTGTTCCTCTCGAAAACAGGGTTCGCCATCCGGGTCGCTTCCAGTTGATCGCTATCCACATGGAATAAGTGAAATGAGTGAAATGGTGGGATTAAAAAGCAGGGCTGTCGTCGGTTTGAGGCTCTAGAATTCGACACCTTTACCCAGGCTGTGTGGGCATGCTGTGTGTGGTCTTTAATCCAAAGGGACAGAGGTGGGAGCCATAAACAAAAGAGAGGGAAAATGCAAAAGTGAGAGGAGCGGGATTCGAACCCGCGCATCTTTCGATACTAGAATGCTTTCTTCGCTTGTGAGCAAAGTAAGTGTGGAAAGTACACTTGAGTCTAGCGCCTTAGACCGCTCGGCCATCCTCCCAATCACATGATTGATGGATGATCCGATGCCTAATCGTGCCCATGGCGCTTCACCCCTGAAATCCATCGAGTCATGCATGAACTTACATGCAACACCCAAGAGCAGGGCACCTGGTGACACAGCTATTTCGGCTGTGGTCTAAGGAGAGATTCAACAGAAATGGGAAACGAGGCAAGAAAAATGAGCTTGAAGGTCCAACTGTGAAACAAAGATGCAACTTCTTGACCGGTCGAGGGAATATTGCCATTGCCAGCGAACCTGCAAACATGGTCCAAATGATGCTTTCTGAGAGAAGCAGGGGAGCGGGACTGAGTGCCCGGCATCGAACAACATCTCTTCCAACACCCTTCCACCGATCTTTCTTGTAGACCGCCATCTCTTTTCTCCATGCCGGTGGGTACCGAGAGACCGGGCTGCTGTAATAGCGTATCACGAGATGCACACCATACCTGTACCGGTTATTCCGTTCATCCGTGTTTGCATCTCCTGGCCCGCCTCGACTGCATCTGCTCATCAAGGCAAGGGACATGGCATTGTGAGATCTGAAGCCACCCCATTTGACGTCCATATTGGATGAAATCTGACTGAAGTAACAAAAGCTGTGTCGTGGAACTGGCAGCAGTGCAACTACTCGGTGAGCCCAAGATGCTGCAGAGAGGGATCTCGTGACGGATGGATGCGTGTTCAGGCGGTGTCCATGTCCGAAAATAGAGCATTGGAACAATGAGCATGACAACGTTGAACCGACATTGGACTGCTGAGAAGAAGGCAACCGGTTACTACATATATCCTACAGAATCTTCATACCCAACTAGCTGGTTTTGACATTTGATGCCTACCTCATCTGGTGTTGTCTTGGGCAGCAATGCAGCAACAGCTCCAAGGCGAGGGGTTAGGAGAGAGCCCAGAATTACTGGGTAGGGTATGCGTGTGTTCCTGGCTGTCACCGGGGCAGCGGACAGGGAGCAAAGGCGTGGGAGGACGGGACCGGGATGCACGGCAGCCTCAAAACGTCGCCTCACCGGCCGGCAAGCTGCGTCATGATATTGCTTCGCAGAACAAACAGACCACATTAGGCAAGTATCTCGTCTCTTCCAGGACAGGGGTAGAGCCCGCGAAGCACAATAGGAAACAGAGACGGCGCACAACAGCCTCGAAAAGGTCCAACACGCGGTCTTGTAACACACATTAGGCCCATGGCAGGCAAACATGACCACCTTGCAGGTGGTTGACCACCTGGAAGAGTGCTCACCTCTTCCTCCACCACCACGGGTTAGCCACCTGCTCCAGCTGCCTCCCGGAAGAGCACCGAGTGGGCATTCCACACTGTAGCTCGGCCGAGAAGGACACAGTGGGTAAGCCTAGGATGCTGGGTGATGGCGACGGGCTCCGACACATCTGGGTTTCCGCCACTTTCCTTCTCATCCTCGAGACTCTCGTCGCTTCTCTGTCACGTAGAGTCTGACGTGCCTAAGCTATAGCCAACAGCACCTTTCACGCAATAACCGGAGTGATCGAGAAAACCACAATGGGCCAAATCAGAAGAGTACGGCTAAACACGCCATTGCCAGGTTCCCTGTTGACTGACTACCTGTCTGTTTCCCCATAATCTATACAGGGAGCGGATTCCATCCATATTGGGTTCCGACATCCGATCCCAGACTGCAGGTAAACTAAGCTCCAGCGCAAACCACACGCAAAGAGAGCTTCGTCCAACCTCTCTCACTCCTGGCTCATGTATATACACACACGCACACCAACGGCACCCTGCCAAACAATCCATCCATTCCTCGTTTCAGCAAGTTTCCTGACGCCATGCCCTTGCTAGGCTTTCATACGTCGTCCTCAAGGAACTTGTAGGCGAACCTAAAGTCCGCTTTCCTTCGGTTCATCCTATATTGCGAAAAAAAGAGCAACTGGTAAGTAACGACTCGTGTATAGGGTGTGTGTGTACGGGGGAATATTATAGGGGAAACAAGGAAAGCGGCTCATCATCAATCACAATCATCACCGTCATCATGTCATCACCGTACATGATCTTCCCCAACTACATGCTAACGTCAAGGGACTCCGCAACCCCTCAAAGTCCCAAGACATCACCGTCCTCATCCACCGGAAAAAGAAACACGGAACTACTAACCAGGTGCTCTCGTAGTCAAAGAAGCGGTACGTCCCCTGCTCGAACTCCTCCGTGATGGCCTTGGGCTCCTCGTGCCGCTGGAACCACGTCTGGTACTGCTTGTGGAACCGCCAGCTCTGGTCCTTCAGCGCCTTGGCGGCCAGGTACTGCTGGTAGGTGCCCTGCTTGTAGTAGAACACGTAGAAGAGGGTGTCCGGGTCGATGCGCTGGTAGAGCTGCGGATTCTCCAGGATCGGTAGGGGTTCTTGCGGGTACTGCGAGTAGACTGTCTGATAGGGCAGCGGCTTGTCGGGCCTGTAGAGCTTGTGCGGCTCGGCGTCGGATATGCCCGGCGCCGAGGCTTGGGATGCGGCGAGCAGGCGGAGGGTGGTGGGGGATTGGAGGGGTGGGGGGCCGCGGCTCTTGGAGTCGGTCAAGGTCTGGAGGAGGTCATCGAAGCCGGGGGGGAGGTGGAAGATGGACTCCATGTCCTGGGGTTCCTCTGCTGGCTTGACGCCGTTGGTAGAGCCGTTGGTCTTGGGTTGCGCGGATGATGATGGAGCGGATGGTGGAGCTGGAGCTGTTACCGCGCTCGGAGCCGTCGCTGGCGCCTTGCCTCTGGAAGAGGAAGCGCCTGCCTTTGTGACCTCCGCCTTCTTCGATAGCCCCGGTGCCGGACCGGCCGGTAGGCTGACTGCCGCTGCCTCGGCTGGTGTCAAAGACCTGTCGGTCTGCTGTTGCTGTGCCTGCACCTGTGCCGCCATAGCTTGGGAAGCCATCTGTAGAGTAGACAGGCTCGGAGAGTTCGTTGCGCTCGCCTTCGCTTGTGACGGTGGTATGACGGCCGGTTGCCCTGGTGGTGGAGGTAACGGTGCGATGCCAATCTTGTCGTTCGCTGCCGCCGCCGCCGCCGCACTTGCGTACTTGAGCCCCTCTCCCGCCGGGCGTGTTGGAAGCGCCGCCGGCTTCATTGTCGAGCTGCCGGGAGTGCCCGTGCCGATCGTCGGTAATGGCGTGTTCATCGTTGCCAGCGTCGGCAGAGGCGACTTGACGTTGAGCTGTGTCGACGGCCGTCGTCCTGCCGCGGCCGCGACTGCCGCTTCTGGCGCCCGTACTTTGGCGTTGGGTATGCTCGCCGGCCGTGACTCGGGCTCCTCGTCCTGCACCGACTGCGCATCCTGGGACGAGCCCTTGTCGCCATCAACGTTCATGCCGTATTGGTCCTCCTCTTCTTCAAGGTTGAGGTCGTCGTATAGGCCCTCGTCGTCGGCGGACGGGTCCTCGTTTATCCCTTGCTCAACATAGTACTTGATGCTGTCCTCAATTTCGGTAACCTGATCCGGCTCGACGCCTCCGTTGTCCAGGGATCTCCTGATGAGCTCCATCTTCCCTTGATGCCATTTGTGCCGCTCGATGATGCGCTCGATAGCGGCCATGCGGTCCACCTTGACGGCTTGGCCCTTTCCTTTCTTCATGGTCGCCTGTATCGACTCGGCTTCGGCTTCGAGCTGTTCGATCTGCTCCTCCAGTTGCGAAACTTGGTCGGCGAGGAAATCGCTGGCCTCGACCTTGGCCTGCTCTTTCGGATCGAGTCTTGTGGATGCGTTGAGGCCTTCTTTCGAGAACGCTTTGGTCTTCATTGCCTTTTCGACGGCTTTGAATCTCTCCATTTGCTACAAGGAAGGAAGGGTAGAACATGTTAGCTTCCGTCTCTGCCGCTCTCGAGTATCACTGAGGCCCTGAGCTGAGGGGAATGGTGACTCAAACCCACCGTCTCTATTTGGCGCCGGTGATCCAGAAGAGGACCCTTGTCCTTGATGTCGTTGCTAGCGGCCCATGTCTTGATCTGGTCTCGCAACCGCTGGAGCTTCTTGATCTCTCGCTTGAGATTGTCCTCTAGCTTCTCCTTCTGGGCTTGGTTGTTTGACGCCTCAATCTTCTCGTAGATGGATTCGAATTCCTGTATGCCCTCCGCTACCTTCTTGAAGCACTTGTCGACTTCTTGTTGCAGCTTTCGGGCGGCCATCTTGTGCGCGGTGCTCGCTGCTCAGCGCGAGGCTTGGGATGTGGTAAGGGGTAAGTGACGTCGTCCAAGATTCGTTCGTTGTTCCCGCTGAGGCTCGAAGTCGCCTCGATTCTGTGCTCTGGCCTTAACAACTTTCAGGGCGGTGGGGGAATGGGCCGACTGCGCTGCCGTCATGCGCGGGGAAGTCGGGGAGAATTTAAGCTTTGCGATGACCAGCTTATGCGTAAGAGAAGCGCATTGGCTTTCTCGTGTGTGTCGGTTCGATGTGGCGCGGTGAGGGTGAGGTGGTTGATGATGGGAAAGGTGCAGTTGCCAGCTTCGTTGAAACAACCTGAAGCAAACGGACCAGGGCAGTTTGCTCTTGATTGCTTGTTCGCCGGATGCTTGGCTGTGAGAGGTCAGAATGGCACGCCAGAAATCGCGGTTAGTCGCCGGAAAGAGCTGGGTGGGTCCCGGAGGCTGAGAGCAAGCAAGCTGAAAAAAGGGCCGGGCTGCCATGATTAATGGATTGCCAGGCACTGCCAGCTGTCGGGTATTAGTTGGTGGTAGTTTTTGAAGAGTTGGCTGCTCGTTTCCTCGTGAAGCTGGAGACTTCAAGTTGATGTTGAAGATGCTTATAAGGACTTGTGAATGTGACAATTTATAATTCAATGTTCCCAAGCCTCACGAACACTCGATTGCCACCAAAAGATGTGGCTTGACTGCAGCCTGAAAGCCTGTTCTGCAATCTCAAGTTAGGACGGACCGCCAAATCGTCAAGCCCCCGCCGTCCCGTGCAGACACAGCACACAGCACACAGCACTCTCAAAGAAGCAATCCATCACAATTACGGCCCAGCGTCTGACAACCACAACC